TCTATTTTTTCTTCTACATAGGTTCTATATGCTTGTGACAATTTCATTTACCAAGGATTAAAGATTTTTCCAAAAAAATAATTTATTAGGTTATTTGTAATTCTATGATTAAAAGCACTATAATAATATTTTTTAAATAGGCAAATATATTGACCTAGCTTGCAAAAGTTGTATAATTCTAAATTTTGTGAATTCCATACTACAATTCTTTCAAATCTGGCTTCTGTCTTGATTTTCTTCTTGAATGTCTTTTAGGAGCTCCTTTCTTATGGTTGCTTCATATTTGGTTATTATATCATGCATTGCTTCATTTTTTTTATTTCATCTATAGCAAGATTTTCACTTATAATAATGTCTTTTTTAATCCAATAAACCAAAAAAGCCAATCATAGATTATTCTTTTAAAGTGATTTGGATGAATCTATTGGTTTGTAAAAGAGTCCGATTTTTATTTGCTATGACTATTTAGGTGGTTTAAACCTAATCACTAATGGATTTACCTATATCTGTGCCACAATCTAAATCTAGCTAAAAGCCATTGGTGCTAATCATCTAATCTTTGACCTAGACTAGTGTCTCAAGCCTAGTTTGATTTTTGAATCATTAGTATCTTCTATCATTGATTTTTATATTGGCTTCATTTCTTTGAATTCTATTTGTTCTTAATTCTTGAGTTGCACTAGTTTTTATTCCAAATTATACTTGAAATTATGTTCGAGTTATATTAGGTAGTTGGTCATATTTCTCCTCTTCACTAGTTTCTTCTCTTGATTCAACAATGCCCTTGCCTTCTCTCTATGTATTCATGTGCATGTTTTCTAACTATTTAGTGATTTGAGTAAGATGTTTATACAAATGATCTAACACTTCTATATCTTCTTTTCCAAAAAATTATGTTCTAATTCTTTCAATCTCTCTTCTTATGTTCTTAACATGCAAAGAATTATTCCTCTAGTTTTAGGTTTTTCAATGAAAATCCTAAGGATAGCCTTTAAGTCCCTCACTTCTATCTATAATATTTTTTCTACTACACATTGCTACTATAGTATCTTATAGATCCTTAAGTTAAGTTTGAATCTTATAAAAGTTTTTGTCTATATCACTTTCTTGTTGTAAAACTATTTTACTATACATTTTAAAACTTTTATTGCAAATTTTTCATCAATTGGAAACTTAATAAAGTTGAAAGTGTAACTTAAATAAGTTACATAGTTTGAGTTATAATAATTAATAAAAATGTTCAAATGGAGTTCAGAGTTTTTTATTTTTAGGTTAAATGCTAATTTTGGTCCCTCAACTTTATATGTTTGCACTTTTTTGGTCCCTCAACAATTTTTTGCACTTTTTTGATCTCTCAACTCTAAGAAAATGCACAACGTTAGTTCTTCCATCAATTTGAGCCATTAACTCCATCCACTTGAGCCATTAACTCCATCCATGTGGTATTTTTTATTTTTTTTTATGACATGGAAAAGACAACTTAAAAAGAGGATGATATGGACAAAACATTGTTCATTAAATTAAAATAGTTTTAAAATGACAATTTTACCCTTACTCCATCTTCTACCTTCGGTCTCCTCTTTGTTTCTAGGTTACCTATCTCCATTCTCCATTTCTCTCTTTCTGTTTCTCCTTTTTTTTCACCTTTCTCCATTCTCCATTGCTCTCTTTCTTTTCCTCCTTCTTCACCTCTCTCTCTCGCTTATTACCCAGATTTAGGTTCCACAAAACCCAGCAACCTGGGTTTGTTTGAACCCAAAACATTAGGTTCATTTGAACCCAACAATCTGGGTTCATTTAAACCCAGATCTTGGTTTCATGAAGTCCAGTGATCTGGGTTTGTTTGAACCTAGATTCAGGTTTCGTAAAACCCAGCAATTTGGGTTTGTTTGAACCCAGTTCTAGATTCCATGGAACCTAGGAACATGGGTTCAAGGAACTCAAATTTTTGGGTTTTCAAACCCATGTTTATAGATTTTTTTTACTTTGTTTGATGGATTTTTGTTTCAAATATTGTGGTTGTGGGATGGTAATTTAGTGTTATGAATGCTGCAAAATTTTGTTTATATGTTTTGGTTTGGCTATTTCTCTTGTGAGTATGTGATCATTAAGCTAGATTGAAGTAGTATAAATTTTCAAGGTTTTGATTTGGTTTTGTTGCAGGTTAATCATCGGTGTAGAAAAAGTGGGAAATTTATTAAATCTTGGTTTTGGTTTTGTTGTTAGATTTCATTTTGATTTTGTACAATCAAAAAGATTCTATTGGTTTAGTACAAGTTTAATTATAATTAATACTTTTAATTATTTAAATTAATGAGTGTTTAATCTTAATATTACCATGTAAGCCTTTTTTTTTTATGGTTGGATTATCCATATCAGCACCTTTTTAAGTTGTGCCCTCCATGTCATCAAAAAAATATAAAAAATGCCACGTGGACAGAGTTAACGGTCCAAATTGATGGAAGGACCAATGTTGTGCATTTCTTAGAGTTAAAGGATCATAAAAGTGCAAAAAAAATGTTGAGGGACCAAAATTAGCATTTAAGCTTATTTTTATTGCTAGACTTAATATGTTTAAGCTTTTGTTACAACAATATTTTTTAAAACCATAGAAAAATTTATGGTTAGTTATTGAAACATTTTAAAATTATAGGAAAAAGACTTAAATTTATATTAAAGTACAACTCAAACTTGCTTGAATACTCATAAGCTTGAGCTTGAGCTCAATTATTTTGAGGTTGACAAATACTTGAGCTCAACTCAAGTTCAAATTTTTAAGGCGAACTTGAGCATTAGTACTTAAGTACTCAACTTGACTTAATTTGTTGGCAGTCCTATTTCTATGGAGTATTCCTTAAATACCATATTTTATTGGGATTAAAATATTACTTTCCCAAAACTTAAAGGACTACTTTGCTTTAACTTAGAGTTAACCTTTTCGATTATCTTTCTATTAAAACTAATAGAAATTTAGTACAATAGATTATTATAAAATATTTCATAAAATTCATAGACTATTTAGAAAGAAAACTAATTTTTTAAACTAAAATAAAATCAAATTAATAGTTAATAGACTAATATTAATCATTAAATTAAGCCTTCTAATAACTTATATATGTCCAAATCTGATTTTTTCATTAAAAAAAAAGTCTAATTTAATTAACTTCTCAAGATTTCTTTCTTTTTAAACTCCACATCTCTAAACTCCATTTTTGTTACAATTATATCAAAACGTTCATCATCCATCACATATCTAGCTAAATACAATTGTTATCTATTGACATATAAGGGACATCAATCTTAGTATACTCTTTTTTTTATTATTATTGTGATGTGGTATACTAAGTGCTTTGTATTAAAGAAAGACATCATGTAGTAAACTGTCCTTTTTTAGCACATCGTGTATGACCCTCCCCAACTCAATTATCTAATAGTATACTTCTTTATTGAAATTTGAAAGGGACATTACTAATTTAGCTACTGTACCATGAGGATCATCCCACCGTCCAATAATAGGTTACTGAGATAATGCCTCCCATCATGTACGGACGCACAACTACTCTGTAAATGTGTAGCATTTTTTATTTCTAACAACCTTTCCTCCTCACTTTTTTTTTTTTTTTTTGAGAAAGGCAATGGTTAGAAGTGTTAAAGTGTTAGAAGTGTTA